GGCGGCGGCGGCGGAACTGCCGGCGCTGGTGCGAACCGGTTCGGCTGATGCCGACGCTGCCGGCGTCAGAGGCACCGAATTGCGGGGAGTGCGGGCAGGGCGCCGCGGGGACTTGCGGGCTTTTGTCGCCGGCTCCCGGCCTGCTGCTGCCGCCCTGGCGGGGGGGCCGCCCTCTCTTTTCCGTTTCCTTTTCCTCCGGGGCAGCCTCGGGCCCTGCGTGCCTTTCCGCGCTTGGCAGATGCAGCGATCCAGCCCTCGCGCGTGGCACCTCCGCCGGCTCGTCCATTTGGAGGGCCAAAAACAGCGAGCCTGTGACCTTGAAGGGGAAGGGCAGCTGGGCCAAAAGGGAGGGAGGATCAACCGGTCTTGCTCCACCCGGTCTTGCGGGGGTCCCGGCAAGCTTTCCTGGAAGGACCCAGCTGGCATTCACGTCCGTTTCCCAGTCGGGTGCCAGGGTGTGAGAAAAGGCTTAGCAAGGTCACGTAAGGTTTAAATGGCGTGGATAACTTGCTGCAAGGTCAGCAACAGGAAGCTCTGGGGGTTAATTTGGCCCATGGGAAGAAGGAGGCTGTTGTGAATCTAGTGTTGTCCTGAATAGCAGTAAATGCAGCTGTTTGGAGACCTGGCTTGTCTGGTTGCTTAGCAGGAAGCTCAGGACATCTTGATCCCACAATGGGCGCCAAGGCACAATCTCTTAGAAAGGAGGTCACCTTGCAAAGAAGCTCTTATCACTGATAAGGCAGATTACAACCATTGTCTGCCTAGCTTATACAAAGGCAGATCAATTCAACCCAGCCCATGGCCTCTTGCGGCTTTGAGTTGCCTTTGTAAATTTCTGCCTTCAGAAATTCTGACCTCTCTCAGCGTGAGAACTCTGTTTTCCAGGTCACAGAGATCCCTCTAATTTCCACGCTGCCAAAACCAGGACCTGAGATTTAAACTAGGTACCCCAGTGCCGGCTCCTTCATAGGCCTAGGTCCAACCCTCACAGGAAGGGCAATATTCAAGGACTTAGTTCTGTTAAACAAGGATGGAAGTTTGAGCTTCCGTCTCAGGGTGGAGAAAAAAAATACCCTCCGTGTACAGTACTTAACAAGACACAGCATGACTTCACTACGTAGGACTTTTCAGGATTTGACGATTCTGTTTCATAATCGATTGCCCGGTCATTTGGAAATAATTACCTTCATTCAGAGATTTGGGAGTACATCTCTGCGTGTCCTCGGACTATACACCCTCCTGGCCGGGTTTTCTAAACGTTCTTGTCTAAAACCTACAAAGGGCACTGGGTTGTGCAATCTCTAAGCTAAAGCTTCACTTTCCATTTTGAATCATTTGATCCATCTAACCTTGATTTCATAAAGGTGCATGGGCCGGCTTGACCTACCCCAGTTGATTTCCAAATGTAGTCTCATAATTTAACATTTCAAAGAGGAAAATTATTAAATCTGGGTCTGAATTTTTTTATATTTATTTTTTTTAATTTTAAATAAATGTTATGTACCCCTACATAACAGTAGCTATAAAAGGAATGAAATCAAACTGTTTGTTCTTAACCCAGCTACATTTTTTTTGGTGTATAGCTCCTGGCTGGGAAAAACAGGCCCATTTCTGCTTCAAGCCATCCTGCGTGGCTTTCATTCATTACTATCACGTGCCAACCCAGCTGTCGTGATTTATAAGCCACACTTTATGGCTTACTGCAGTGTCGGAACCAAACCAGTGGTTTGTCCAACAAATCACAGGGAGGCCATCGCAGCTTATCATGACGTCTGAATGCAGCCAATGCTGCTGTATTTAACCTTCGCCACCTTCCCTCTTGGCAGGTACAACATGCCAGCATGCAGATCACGGCTGAGAAACAGTACAAGGGGATCATTGACTGCGTGGTCCGAATTCCCAAGGAGCAAGGCGTTCTCTCCTTTTGGCGAGGCAATTTGGCCAACGTGATCCGGTACTTCCCCACACAAGCCCTAAACTTTGCTTTCAAAGACAAGTACAAGCAGATCTTCTTGGGCGGCGTTGACAAAAGAACCCAATTCTGGCGTTACTTTGCGGGCAACCTGGCATCCGGAGGCGCTGCCGGAGCGACTTCCCTCTGCTTCGTCTACCCCCTTGATTTCGCCCGAACGCGTCTGGCGGCCGACGTGGGGAAAGCCGGGGCAGAACGAGAGTTCAAGGGGCTCGGCGACTGCCTGGTCAAGATCTTCAAGTCGGATGGCCTTCGGGGGCTGTATCAAGGGTTCAACGTCTCGGTCCAGGGAATCATCATCTATAGAGCGGCATATTTTGGCATTTATGATACCGCAAAAGGTAAAGCGGGGGTGGAGGGTTGTGGTCGTTTTCCTGCCTCCCAGCCAAAGCTCTAAGGGACCGTCATTAAGCAGTCTTTGTCTTCCTCATGCAGGCATGCTTCCTGACCCAAAGAACACCCACATCTTAATCAGCTGGATGATCGCGCAGACAGTAACAGCAGTTGCAGGCCTGACCTCATATCCCTTCGACACCGTACGACGGCGAATGATGATGCAATCTGGGCGCAAAGGAGGTGGGTATCTAGCTCCCCCCCCCCAGGTTCCCCTTTGTAGGTGTGCTTAGCTTGGCTGGTCATTGACCGAATACATATGATGGACTGATATTGGTGTGCTTAGCAGTTTGCTTTTTTCTCCCTTAGGCCCGCCCGGTATAAAAATGCAACCAAGGGGGGAAACTAGATTTCCTGAGCTACTTCAGATTGTCTTAAGCTTGTTAGTTTCTACTCAGATCCTATAAACGGGGCTGCGTCGTCAGCTTTTAGAGGTGGTCTTAGGTCTAGCTGCTTTCTAAACGAGAAGGCCAGGGCGATCTCAGCAAAGGCAATGTAGATGCCAAGGGACAGGGAATGCCCAATTCTGCAGATGTTACAGAACTACAGTTCCCATCATTGCTCTTTTTTTAATCTTGGCTGGCATTTCAGTAGCTTTGGCGGGCCACAGGAAAAGTGCGATTCGAAGGGACAATGATACTGCTTTACGGAGATGGTTGAATGCTAAGGATTTATAGTCCGCCCTTAGCGTCAATGGACTTTTGATTTAAACAAACTTCAGATGTGCATAACCTGGATCATTTAATGAACCTTCAAGGCACCCCTCCATTAATAATGCCAAATGTAATTGGTTCTCTGCAGTTCAAAGCTTGGCCATCTATTTTTAAGTAGATGTTAACATTATAATCCTTTTAGCTTTATAAGCCTATTTAACTTTTTAAAAATGCACATTCTACCCATATTGCAGAATTGTAGGGCTGAAATCTTCCTGAGAATCATCTGCCTCCAATGTCCGCATTCAGAACTTGTCTGTTATTCTGCATTAGTTTTTGGCAGACAAGATGCGTCTCAAACAGATCCCTCTAGATTAAATTGGAGGACTAAATAAGTTAGCCGCTTAATATTCCCATTTCAAAATATCCTCTCCCCTGCTTTATTTATGAGTTCTAGTGAGTTGAATTGCCACTTGGAGAGGCCCCAAGTCAAAAGGGAAAGAATAAAGAGCTTTTTGAATTTGTTGATGAGATGGATGAGAAGGATGAGATGAAGACCCTAACCCTTTCATTAGTAATAGAACACCTTTGATGTGATTTGTGAATGTTTCCTTCTCTGTAAAGATGGGCCATGACATCAGATTCTTATTTCTGATTGGTTATACGGGGCAGCAGCATGCTCTGAGTGGTTGCAAACAGTAGCCAATCAGAAGAAGCCTGGCTCCACCTTTTCATCTGGCTATCCTCTTTAGATTAAATTCCAGAACCTGCACCGATGATGCTTACAATGAGTTACAAGAGTGCGTCCTGTTTCCCATTCATCTCGGACCATCGTTTAGTTCAGGGTTTCTCAACCTCAGCAACTTTAAGATGCGTGGACTTCACCTCCCAGAATTCCCCAGCCAGCAGGGAATCCTGGGAGTTGAGGTCCATGCATCTTAAAGTCGCTGAGGTTGAAAAACACAGACTTAGTCTGAAGCTAATTCCTTATTTATCTCTTTTCCTTTCCTGTTTCCTCCACACTCCATTTTAGATTGTGTTTTAGGGCCGAGACTTTTCTTTTGAGAATCCCTAAAACGATTGGCACTTTATGATGATTCCTCTAGCACTAGCTAAAGAGTGAAATGGCAGCTGCCTTATGGTAAAAGTCAAATGAATTAGTTGCCCATCTTGTTCCTCTTTCTTTTTCTGCAGCTGACATCATGTATTCTGGAACAATTGACTGCTGGCGGAAGATCGCCCGTGACGAGGGTGGCAAAGCGTTCTTCAAGGGTGCATGGTCCAACGTCCTGAGAGGAATGGGGGGTGCTTTTGTGCTAGTCTTGTACGACGAAATCAAGAAGTTCACATAAGCTGCTTCCCCACTCCTAGATGGCACTTCCTACATGATATTCCATGGACTGCATCAAAACTATTTATCGTTCCCCTTGTGGTGTCTCTTAGTCGACGGAGAGGCCATGATTCTACTTGCCTGGTCCCTTTTCTCAAGTCATTCCCCTGACGATGGGACTCAAACTTTATTTTTATTCAGTCACTCCTGTTAAAATAAGTTTGAGAAATAAAATGGAAAAAACGGTACCAAAAGTGTTTGTGGATTTTCCTTCTCTTGAATAAGAAGCGCTTTGTTGGAACGGCAAGATAGTAAATTCATTTTTTTAATAGGGGAATTTGTGGCCTTCCAGCTGTTATCAAACTACAGTTCCCAGCTGTTCAGGTCAGCCTGGGTAATACAGTAACTTCAAAAGCAGAAGTTCCCCAGTCATGATTAAACACAACAGACATGGACTTTTAGTACGTTCTCAGGCTCTGCTTCCCTCTTCATATTCTGCTTGAGAAAAATGGCCACCTTTGGCCATTTTGGTTTGAAGCTGGATCAATGTGCAGACGGGATTGGGTTTCTATCCAAATTATAATAAATGATTTGGTTTTTGGATGGCCAGGGAGAAGGGGGAAAAAAATGACCCTGTTAATACCTGTTCAAATAACATGGTCCTTAATGGCCATTCATCTGCCCTGTGTTGCATTATGGAAAGTTATTTCTGCAACGCAAGATGGTCTACAGAATCAGGGTGGAACTCAGATTAAATTTGTTAGGACATAACTGCAAAAAAATCTGATGCTGCCTCACTAAGGAAACTGGTAAAGTTATTCCAAAATTTCTAGTGTACAAGGAAAAGGGATCAAAATACCCCCTTCTATGTTATGATGGGCAGATGGCCCCTTGGGTGGATTTTTGCTTGACTTGTAGGCACTTTGGATTTCCAGTTGCATAACCAAGAAAGAAGGTCGTAGTCAAAAAGTACTTGTCAAAAAGTATTGACAAGATTCTTTTCACTAAATGGGTGCAGGCTTTAAAAAAGGCAACCTGAGGATCAAGATTTGGGAGCATTGTGTAGAACAAGGTAGGAGGAGGGCAGGAGTAGCCTACACGGACAAAAAATCAGGAGTCTGGTAGCACTACTTTCAACTAACCCATTCTATTAAAAGGTATAAGCTTTCCTGAGCTGTATTTCACTCTTAATATAAAGTGTGTTTGGACACCACACTAAGCTACTGTTTCTCAACCTTGGCAACTTTAAGACATGTGGACTTCAACTCCCAGGATTCCCCAGCCAGCATGGGGTTGAAGTCCACGTGTCTTAAAGTTGCCAAGGTTGAGAAACACAACCAAGTCAACGTATGGCTTGTTTGCCTTTAGCTTAGCATATTGTGTGAACCCATGCGCTGTGGATTTGCAGCCTGGCCTGTTTGGCTCCACAGTAGATGGAGTAAATCTAGCCAGTTGTGGATCTCTTAACGAACCATGGTTTGGTGCAATGTGTGAAGGAGAGGGGAGCTCAAAGTTCTAGTCAAGAGTGAAGGAGACTCCCATATTCCTGAAGGCAAGAGATGGCTGCCTGCATAAGCCAACTTCCTTTTTTTTCCAAGCATCCTGCCTTACATGTCATGAGTAGCTCTAGCCCCCTCACTCTGTGGAGCTCAGCTACAAATGGAGTTCACATTATTTAAAGAAAACCACTAATTGGGACAATACAGGTTCATCAAGGTGCACAGAGAGTACCATACGATCTGTAGCTCCCTCGGTTGTCTGTTGCCCCCTAATATTCGTGCTTCACGTAGCCCACCCCAGAGTTTCACAACTCTCAGGGAGCTGGGCAACACCCCTACAATGTGAGAAGACCTTCCTTTGCTGCCATGTGTTGTTATGGCCATTTGGAAAGGAAACTTCAGGTTTGAATTTCCAGTTGGACGAGTTCCCTTCGCCTTTCTTCCCGTGCTGTCATCTGCGATAGTGAGTGTGGCTTGCAAAAGGGAGCTGCAGGGGAGGTCCATTAATATTACCGGATGCAATGCTGAGCATTGTTATGGGAGCTAAAGCCCCATCCAATCTGTTTCAGCAAAAGCAACGAAGCATCCTAGGACATCTCAAAGACAGGCCATTTATTCTTGCATAACATTGATTCGTTTTAGGAGCGGTTCTCAGCCTTCAGCTGGGGGCCCCGTACTCTCAAACCAAGAGCCAGTTTGCTCTAGCAGTGAAGCCTCCAGGCTAGAAACCAGGAGATGGCGAGTTCTAGTCCCACCTTAGGCATGAAAGCCCGCTGGGTGACTTTGGGGCAGTCTCGCTCAGCCCCCGACGTCAAGCTCGGGTGACAAGCTGGTCGGTCAATTCCTGCCTCAACCAATAGATCAACGTTTGGTTGATCCAAAAAAAGCAGACCCTGCACCTGTGGGAAAACGCTAGGAAGGAAGAAAAAAGGAGAGGTTCTCAACCTTCAACTGGGGGCCCTAGGATATTTCAAGGGGGGCGCAGGTGAAAAATATGCAATGAGGGGCCACAGGATATGCTGAGGAGGCCACAGAAAAGCAAAGGGTATTATACTGCAAATACTGTCTTTATTATAAATAAAAACACATATTTTATTTACAAACCGAGTGTGTAAGTGGCAATCTTTTTCACTGATAATGGGACATGGACAGGAGGGGGGCCGCAGGAGAAAAAAAAGGTTGGAAGGGGGCCACAGGTGGAAAAAAGTTGAGAAAATGGCATTATTAATGGCAACTCTGGGGGTGGCTAGTGCCTCAATGGCGCTCCCTGAGTGATCACCAATTATTTTGGATCGCTTTATTTTTTATTATTGTAATTTTGTCATTTTAATTGATTTTAATTGTTTTGTAAACTGCCCAGAGTCGTTTAATGAGATGGGGGGTGCCAAATTCGATAAATAAATAAATAAAATTATAGCATATGCAATGATACCTGATATTTTTTATAGTGCCTTTGTCAAACCCAGTGGGTTACTGGGGTGTGCTGGTAATGATCTAACACAGTGTTTCTCAGACTCCACAACTTTAAGAGGGGGGGACTTGAAGTCCCAGAATTCCCCAGCCAGCAACTGAAATCCACACATCTTAGAGGTGCAGAGATTGAGAAATACTAACATATTGTCAACTTTTCAACAGCCTACAAAACAGGCTATTCTGAAACGGGGGAGACTTCAGAGAAAGTAGCTCATCTGAGGCTATGACGTCATGGCCAAGTTGAAATCTTAACTGCAGAACATCTTGCTCTTTCTATTTTTGGCTGAATGCCACATCACTTGTTGACTGCAACGTCTATCCAATGGGTCACTCCTACGGCTGCCAACTTTAATCAATAAAAAGGTTGGAATTTGAAGCACGCCATTGATTAAAAGAGTGCTCTAATGAAGCAGCAGAAGCTGTAAATAATCAATTAACTCAGGGAATTCAGTTAACATTCACACTAAGGTCTAATATAGGTATTCCTCATTTAGCAACCGCAATTGGGGCTGGCAACTTGGTCATTAGGCAAAGCAGTCACTAAGTGAAATCACGACCGTGTTTATCATCTTACTTCAGCTTTCCTTTGCTTTACATACCTGGGAAGCTTGTAAATGCATGGACTGGTTGTAAAGTTACTTTTTCATCACGGTTGTAACTGCAAACAGTTGCTAAATAAGGCAGTCGGTAAACGAGAAAGACACATCATTTAAAAAAAATCAAGGCTTAATGTTATGTGTGAATCAAGACCTTAAGTTTGCCTCAGACATTAATGGCTTAGAACTGAACTGGTTCACTGGTCATGCTAGAAAGGCTAAGAGCTGCCTGGAACTACTCTTACTTAACTCCCAACCTGAAATACTCACTTTTCATAGGAATTTTCAACTTGCTATACATGCATCTATGGATCTGTCCCACTGGTTTTCCATACCCATTTGAAACAAATACTATTACCTATGTGAGAACGGATAGCAATCAAGGTGTTCTTATAAGAGGCTGTAGGTTGTTCTTAAATAAATAGCATGTGTCCTCTGTGATTCAGGTGTGTTGAAATCAGCTTTTTCTCTGTGTGTGCGTGTGTGTGTTTTTTCCTTCTGGTCTGTCATCCAACCTCTCTTTTTCAAGTTTCATTGCACAATCTTTTCCTGTAGTATGCCAAACGAAAAAAAAAAAAAAAAGTTGGCTCTGGAGTACTGAGTGATTCTTCCTTGAGTTACTCCTAGTAGTGGAAACATGCTCATGCAGATCAAACTCCAACCACCTCACTTCCTTGTAGCAGCCTGGGTGAGCAAGAGCTCTCCAGCAGAAAAAACCCTGCTCCATTTCTCATGAAGGATTCAGAAAGCTGTTACTTCCAAGGGTTTGAGATGGTCTGCTTCTTACTGGAGTGAAAAAAGAATTAAATTTGAGCTCTCTGATAGTATTAGCACCATTGTGGTCAAAGTTGGGTTATCCTATCCCCCAATCCTTTCTACCCCTTTTCACCTCTCAATTTGGCTGGAGGGCCAATCAAAAGAAGACTCAGATACACTGAGAGAAGTCCTATTTTTTTTCAGGACCACTCAACATCTTTACCTCTGTCTTTGGGATCAGGGACGGCTCATTATCCATACAGATAAACAGTTCACCCAACATGGTGGAACCTGGAGAGTTAGTTTAGTTCCAAACTCTCCCAGGCTCTTGGGGTTCAACTTAAAACAATCCACCCTTAGTAAGTTGTCAAGGTTCGTTGACTGAATTTGGGTTTTTCACAGACTGTCCCCAGGGTCCAACGTGACACATCCGAATCTCTGTTCACCCAGAGAACAGGCAGTTGTAAACTTATGACATGGAAAGCACTTTGACCAAAGAGTCTGCAGGCGAACGCGGGAGAGAAGCACGTGGTTGAATGATCGTCAAGCCTGTGACAAAACCCAGCACTACTTGGACAGTTTGCCCAGGTTCAATGGCAAAGAAAGTCACGTTGCTCAGAGTTGATGTCATTGTGATCTAGTGACTGATAATCCTGAGACGGAGGCTGAAGAAAAAAGGCAACCTGTTTAGAAACTCTGAGCCTGATTAGAAATCCGAGTGTGCCTAGAACAAGGTTGATAAAGTCTCTTCAGGACTTTATGATTACACAGCAGGTAAGGATTTCCATTTATCTGAGATCTGTTGAGTGGGTTCTACAATCTCTTTCTTGCTCTGTACTGGTCTAAGACTGTACTGTAATAAACTGACTGACAGACTTTCTCGTTCTACTTCCAATTGTGTTATATTCTTCCATTTTTAACATT